TTTAACATGTACTTCTCTTAATCTAAACCGATCCATTTATTAAATGAAAAATGCGAATAAATGAATTGCTGAAAATATTGTTATTACTTCTGGTCCAAAGCTTAGATTAAAACTCCTGAAAAAACATTATATTCAACAACAGTGTTTTAAAAGAAATCAATGGTGTTTTAATCATTCCTCAAAATTTTAACCAGATTGGAGAGAGAGAAAAAAATTCCCAAATCTCATAACCATTTTAAAACATATATATTACAAACAACATATACTCAAGAGGAAATAGTTCTTTATGCAAAGAATAAAATCACTAAAAATATTCATATTTGGATTTGTATCTTTTATTTAAAAATAAGCAATTTTTGAAGTAATTTTTGAAGTAATTGATTTAAATATGCAATATTTTTATATTAAGGTTTATTATTATTTTTTTAAATAAATAAACTTTTAATAAGGTCTTTTGATGCTAGGAGAAAAGATGCTATTTTTCAACTCTGTAGATTTTTTAACATTTTAAAATAATGGTGCTTACACTATAGTACACAGAGTAAAACATACATAATCTATTATAAATTACTCTAAAATTAAACAAGAAATTTTCTTTGTAAGAGATCTGAAATGTGTGCTGGGCTCTCAATGTGTGTGGCCTCCAAACAGAAACAAGCTTGCACTGTTTTATTTCAGTTTTGCTTCATTTCTTCCCAAACAATCTCTCACTGCTAATCTACCAGCCCCCCCTTTTTTTAAGCATGAAGGAAAAAAGAATCAAAGACATTATTAACCCCTTATGCACAATCATGAAAGCTGCATATATACTGTTTGACATCAATTTGCATGGACTTATTTTTCTTTCTTTATTAATGGGGCATAATTGGGGAGTCTATTATTTCCATAAATGATTCTTGAAAATAACATTGAAATGCTACATTTTAAATTTATACAGTGAATCCAGTATTTTTTTTTTTAAGCTATAAACAACTAGCTACTATTTCAGGTAAACATCTCATGCTAAAGATTTTTCTAAAGTAAAACTCAGCCTATAATATCAACTTAAAATAGTAAAGTGCAAAGATAAATTTTATTTATGTTTTACTCTAAGGTATCTAGGAATCAAGAAAATGACACTGAAATCTTAATACAAAAAAACAGTGTAACTACATCTAAAAGAATACATAAAATCTTTATTAAATCAACATCGCTTTTTTCAAAGTAATAAATAATCTCTTGTTTTACCTATATGCACTCTCATTCATTCGTCTGGGGATAAGAGTGAGTAAATCATCTGACAATGGTGAACTTGGTTTTTAATGACAACATGTGTATGGCAACAATGTTTCTGAAAATTTTAAAACTACTACTGCTAAGATACATACTGTCTAAGATTGGTATAGAATCAACCAACCTTAAAGGTTGACTAGAATCAGACATATCCGTTCATGTTTCCAAAGAAGGCTGCCCAGTGATCTCCCTTACTTGTAAACTATAAAAAATATTAAAATAGAATTTCTCCATAATTGTTCCAGAAAAAAAATGGATTAAACTCAAAGTTTCTGTTGGTTTTTGAATAGCTGCAAAATATGAAGTTAGTTATAAAAAGCAGATAAGTATGATTATACACAGTAATGGTTATAATGTCGTTAAGTATGCACCAATGTCTTTACTGCAAATGTTCCGTTCCCCACCAGAAAGCGAGAGAGGCAGAGAGAGAGAGGGAGAGACCAGTTTTACCATATCATGAATGGGAGAATACCTGGTGTCATTACTGCAGTTCACCAGTGCTCTAGTTTATGAATTAGCAACATTACACAACAGTAACAAGGGTAACAGAGTACATGAAAGTCAGTGCCGCTCCACATTTAGACAACTCTGAGGGGAACTGGCTGAACTTCCATGAGGCACTAGTGAGCAGCCGCAATGTGTCTGGCATTGTGCTAGGCACTCAGCAGCAAACCTCAATTCGGTAAGTTAGTAGTCCATTAAGGACTTGGGATTCACATCATTGCATCATTTGTATCATGACAAAATTAAGAAACCAAGTGGCCAGTGGTCCCTAAAGATCCTATTTTGCTGTGGCGGGTTGCATTCAATTAGACCAATGCCTCTGGGAAGCTGGGTGTGCTAATTATGAAGTTAATCCTGGGGGGGGAGCGGAATCAGAGATGATCCAGGGGTTGGAGGGCACGTGCCCTTGAGCAAATGCCAAAAGAACTTTTAAGTCTCTTCTTGAAAAGGCAAATTTTCTTCCCTTAGGCTTTCATTCATTGATACACAGAAAGGGTTGATGGATTGTTGCCCTGTTAGTAATAATGTTGTGGAGAGGAGAGGCATGGAGAGAGGGATGTCATTTAGCAATACACAATAATAATTCAAAACATTCTGGAAGGCTTAACAGCAAAACCACTTGTCAAATTTTCACTAACCAAATCTCAGTTTTCTACAGGAATGATGGACAGCAGGAGGGTGGCTGTGTGGGAGAGAGGGAAACATGGAACCAAGACAAAGAATAGGTGAAGAAAAGGCAGATAAATTGCCAAAATAAATTTAACAGAACCGAAGCTTGTGAGATTACAAAAATCATGTATCAATAATCACCCCAGAGAACATTCTGGCAAAATTAAGATCACCAAATCACACCTTATTAGGCAATGCAGGACTATGCTGTCACATTATCTTGTTTCTTGCAGTCCAATGGCTGCTGTTTTGTCCTAAGCATGAGGCAAATTAAAAAAATATTTCCTATGTCGTATTTCTACATATCTCCATTTTCTGCAGCCCATCACGGGTCAACTTGGGTACCACACAAAACGTGGCTCCGTAGATGCCGGGAGAATGTCAATTCGCAGACTACCAAAACCCACATTTGCAATTTTATCAAAGGATTACAGCAACTATTGAAAAATGCACTGAATTTAATTTTAATGATGTAACCGGTGATACAGCTTTCTTCTAAAGTCTCTCAGAAGCAGTTTCTGATCTTAATCACAATAAATCTCCAGAAGCAGGTCAAACCACATGGCAGAGCCCTTTTGAGTCAAGAGGATGGGTAATACTTACTGCAGATCCTTATGGTGCTTTATCTCATTTCAAGGCTCAGGAACCTGCTTTACGCTCAGCGATAAAAATACACGTGTCAGTGAATCATCTGTTAGTTAAGCTGGAGTGAGTGAGCAGTATGATCAACTCAGCATTCAAGTACTTATTGAGAGCCTGTAATGTACCCAGAACTGAGTACAACACTATAAATTTCCTTTACATTTATCTTTACATAAGATATGGATTTATTTAATCCACATAATTCCTGGGTTATCCAACTAACTAACCCATCCAGTCATAAAATTAGGAAAAGACAACCCTTGGTGTTGACATATGTACATATATTTTAGCTTAATATATGTATTAATCTGTAGCATGATAGCGAATTGCTAGCTATAAACATCTAAATTAATACAATATGAAAAGAACAATTTATTTAACATATAAATATCTTCTCAGCTTCAAATTTATTTTTGTCACACGTTTGGGATAAATACCCTTTATTTTATGTATTATTTTAAACATTTTTATCTATTTATTGCATCATACCCAGAATACTGAAAACCCATTTACTATTTTTCTCAAATTGCTTACAGTAATTCTGAAGTATTCATACAAAGATGCCACCTAGTATGCTTTTTAAATATGATCAATAATATCACCATTTAAAATAACATAGAAAATAAGATCTTCAATGATTTTGACAGAAGGTTTAGCAAACCAGCAGGCACACTGGCAACACAACAGGGTGTGGGGTACATGCATTAAAACCTGTGCTTTTTCTGGGTATAAGAACAATGCACACAGCAAGCTAGCAATTCGTGAAGCCAATTAGGAAATATGGAATCAATATTAAAATTTGTATATTATATTCATATTGTAATGTTAAGGTGAAGTTTCCTTTTTTGGTTGCTCAGTATGCTCTGGGCATGAAATAAAGGGTACAAGCAATCAGGATATAACTAAAATTATAGTAATAATTATAATAAGGCAAAGTAGATTTCTTAAATTCCCGTGAGAATTTCAAAACATCTTTTTTGAAACAAAAGAGCCAGAAATATTATTTAAGCAGGGTAAGTAGGAAAATAGAGATAACTACTTTTTAAGATGTATTTTACTATAACATTGATAACATTAAAAATAATAGTAAATTTATCTTTCTCAATAAAAAGAAAAAGGTTATGCACGTATTCATAAACAACACATTTAAAAAATATTTTTCAGAAGGTTCAGGTAAGGAATGATGCCACCTTAACTGGAGGGGAACAGTAAGACAGCAAATTAAGAACATGAACTTCTAGCGCAATTACAGACATGAATCTAGCTAAAATGGCATTAATGTCAAATCATGCTGGCTTTCTAGTTCTCCAATGTATTTATTCCAAATATACAAGTGAATTTGAAAATTAAAACCATTACAATCCCGTGTTAAGCTTCAAAGTTTCCATCTTTAAAGTGAGAGTAACAGGTAGCAAAATGCAAAGGGGTATCATATAAGAAAGGTCTCCAGAAAAGCTAGAAAACTAAAATCGTATTTTATCATTTAATATGATTCAAACTTGAAATTCAGGAAGACATTATACGGTCCAAATTTTGATGGTGATCCAAATGCTATGAGTAATAAATACACAGATTTTCCCTTTTTTTTTTTTTTTTCCGGAGAAAATGTTACCCACATATGTGATTTCCCATAAATACTGAAATATCAGTGAGTTGTGGGGGAATGGATATGATGTAATCTCCTAAATGTTGTAAAAAACAAGTTATCTCATTGCACTGAAAAAGGTATTTCACCGGGCTAATGATCTATAGTAAGGAATTCAAGTTATTTGTGATACCACAGTGATGTTTATGGATAAGAAAAAAATCAAGCGAAGGAAAGGTCTTTGTTTTTTGTTTTTCCTGATCCTTTTTAAAATAAGCACACAGAACAGTAACTCAATTAAATAAGGAAATCTCTAAGTGATACTTACTGGCACGACAATGTTGTAGTGGATGCAGAACCCGGGTTCAGAAGGAAAATATTCATCAGATACAAATCTTATCCTGATTTGATTTCCTTTAGAAATCTGTTTTCCTGGCACAGTTCCAGAACCACACCAGCGCCCTAATATAGTTCCATCACTGGGTTCTTCAACTTCTACAAAGTCATACCTGCAAGACACAAAGACAAAAGAGACATAAAGTCCTATGATCTGCTATTGTAGCAATTCAAAGTCCACGATCATGGATCCAATGAATCTATCTATGGACCAGAGCCAGGAGTCCATTCCATATTTAACTGGGTAAATATAATAAAATAGTCCAAAGAAGAGATACAACTGAAAATGCATTCTCTGTTAAAGGAAAATGAGTCTTCTACTCTAGGCCTTCCATAAAACTGTTAATGAACTTCAAATTCACTGAACAGCCATCTCAACACTTAAATATTTTGTATGCAGCAACCATAGCTGACATTCAGTTTGTGAATTATTCCATTTAATTTCCATATGGACATGACAGTTGTACTCTAATCTTAATTGCTATTATCACTGCCCATTACTTTCTGACAGTAACACTTTCACCCTAGGCAGACTCCCTGGCTCCCTTTCCTGATCCAACGCAAGCTTTTCTAGAGCCACATCCTTACACATACATCCTTCAAATCTTGCTTTGTACCAGTCTGCTTCTGTGAGAACTTTCTGGTGTTCTCAGCTCACCGCCATCTTTCTGTTTGTGATAAACACTTATTTTCAATATTCACTATATATGAAAGTGATCCATTTTCTATTCTTTTTTTTTTTTAAGATTTTATTTATTTGAGAGAAAGAAGGAGAGTGAGCAAGAGAGAAAGAAAGGGAGCAAGAGAGAGCATGTTAGAGTGGGAGGAGAGGCAAAGGGAAAGGAAGAAATAGATGCTCCACTGAGCAGGGAGTGGGACATAGGACTTGATCCCAGGACCATGAGACCACGACCTGAGCCGAAAGCAGACACTTAACCAACTGAGCGGCTCAGGCACCCCCAACACGTGATCCATTTTCTTAGTCTCTTAAATCCTTGAAGAAAGTAATTGATTTTTATATTCTTTGAGTTCACACTGCACTATACACAGTATCTTAAACATAAGGAATAAATAATATTTTGCCAACAAATGTTAATTTTGGTTCGGAAGGCTTCAATCAGTGGTACTCATGAAGAGCAGTATTGTCTCTTAAGAAAACATTTCAGAAGTGACCTGTAGAGGCATTCTCAGCTATATTGAGGTTAGGAGTGAAGTGGGCACTATGACATGTAATAGGCAAGGTCCAGGGATTTCAACGATGGGAAGTTCAACAACAATGGGAAGTCCAAGAAGTCTGTCTCTGCCCCATGTTCTCTGAGCCTTCCAAATAGTTCACTAGACATTCATTTGGCAAAATTTCTGATATAGCTCATTGAGTTTGGAAACTAGTAATTATCTCACATACAAACACAAATATATTTTGCAGTTTTAGTTAAAACCAAATTTTCCAGAAATTAAGCTATTGAGTAAGTTGAAGAAAGTTTCCATGTTTTGGAACTTTACCAAGAATTACTATTTGGAAAAACATATCATGAACAGGAACACTGCTTATACTATCTGTACAATTAAAACAATTAAACATACACATATTCATCTGTACCTATAACGGTCATATTCATAATGAGTCTACTTAAAAGATGCAAGCATCTGACCACTTTTATTTTCCTAGTGTAACTGTGCATGTGTCCTTATGTATTTAAATCCACTATTTTCATAGAACTTACTTTGCTATTTCTGGTTTCTGTAGCACACATGCCATTGTATTTATATTTTAAACAACTGTGCACATAAATAGATGATTGCTTCCATAAACTCATTTCAGAATACTAAAGAGGATACTGTAAAACTTTTCTTAAAATGTAGGTAGGTCTGACATGGTTGAAAATCGCCGGTGGATTCTTCCAAAAATCTAAAGTTAGCAGATGTTAGACAACTAAAAATAATGTATATTATGCAGTATTGAATTTACAGAAAAAAATTGGTGAAAATTATATACAAAGTATCTAACAGGCCAATTCTACTTATTCATCTTCATCCTGAAGAAGTATCCAGAACTGTCGTATGACATGTAACTTAACCTGTTTCAGCCTCATTTTCCTTGGTCTTACATTGACGACAACACTACTTAGTTCACAGGGATGTCTTAAGACAGCACACCTGTGTAGAACCTAAAACAGGGCTGGCACACAGCTGCCGTTCAATAAAACTGTCCTTCATCTCCACCCGTCATCCCTTGTCCCCACCTTCACATGAACTTTTAATATAACCTTTGGAGTTTGAAAACAATAAATAAAACTCAAATACAAAGGACAGACTATCTGCTCTACCACGTGATGAGTCTGGGGTCATCAATGACTAATGTGTAAGTCAACCAGTATCACCGTATTAGGAGTTCGGTGTATGGGTGTGGTGGGACCGAAAAGGGGCGTGCTCAGAGGTCAGAAGAGTTGGGTAGAACAGACCTAAGTAGTTATTTCAGATATACTTGGTACAGAAGTGGACAGCTACCACGTGATATGAAAGGATAATTTTTACATCAAGACTGTTTACATGTGAAACAAAGCTTTTATTCAGAGAGTATCTCTTTGTGCTTGGGGGGGTTTTTTGCCTAAACCTCTATAATGTAGGTTACCACCATTGTAAGCTCGAAGAAAGCCAGATTTCAGACCTGCTTGATCATTCTGTAAGCATTTATGAAGTGCTGACTTGGTGCAAAGCTAGATTCTTAGGATACAAAGATGAAACTATAGCTTCTTTGGGCTCAGGGCCCATAAAACACTTTGGTAAGTGCTCCAATGAGAGTGCGTAGGAAATACTGTGGAATACTGGCAGAGTAGGAGTAATTCTATACAGTGAGATTAGGGTCAGCTTACAAAGGAACATTTGGGCTGTCAGTGGGTACTGAATGACCAGGGGTGAAAAAAGGGGAAATGGAAATGCACTGTAGTGAGAAGTACAATACGTAAGATGCAGAAAGAGGGGGCCAGGCATGGTGGGCGGTGAGTGGAGGGCAGGAAACAAAGAAGCAGATGAAGATCAAGCCGGAAAAATAGGTGTAGGTGGAAAGGCCTGGGTACTTCAGAGTCAGATGTTGGAGTATTTGTAGGCCAATGTTGCAAACAGGTCAGCACAGTTTTAATAAGCTCTATGTTTCTTTCCAAAATTTATATCAACATTCCAAAAAGTGGAATTTCACAGGGAAGTCTGAATTTCTGCTTTTTTTTTTTTTAATTAAATTTAAAGATCTGGTAATACTAAATATCATTAGCCCTGGTATGACTCCTCAGATCTCCGGAATTGGTGTCACCTCCAGGAGAGGTGGTATCTTCCATTTCCTGCCTTAACCCTAACATCTATGTGCTAGGAACACAGTAAGAGCAGTATTGCTATCTGATGAACCAAGGAATGAATACTGAACCTTCATTCCTTCACAGCAGCTGAGACTGGGACCAGGCGGAAATAGCTTTGGATGGGACATGTTCTAAGTTTTTAAAGATGTCCATTTACGTTCTATGCTGCCTCTACTGCTGCTGCTGCTGTTTTAATGCCCAGATCATCACCTACTTGCAGTACCGCCCACGGAGGCATTTGAGTGTGCCTCCCTTAGAGAGGTTGGCTGTGGAGGTTTCAGTGAGGGAGTAACACGGGCAGAGAACAGAATCTTCACGTATCTGAAGGATGCCAGGAAACAAGGACATTACAAACGTGGGTAGAAAGAAGAGAGCCTGTAACAAAAACATCCTGAAAAGGAGCAGCTGGGGGGATGTGAGGAGAGCCCCTGTGACTGACGCCGCAGAATAGAGTGAAGAGGGAAGGGAAATATCCACCAGAAGCAGAAGTGGTGGACAGTGCCCTGAGTGCCGGATACCAAAGAAAGCTCAAAGACGACGGAAACCGAAAGCCACCCCCCTCCGGTTTGGCAGTTCAGTCATTTCAGCAAACTGGTTGGACGGAACTCAAAGCGTCAAAAATTTACTTCAGTCCATTTGCAAAATAACTATTATCTTTCTAATAGAAGCATCTTAAGAGAAAAAGACCATATGCAAGAGAACTACACGAATTCACATTAAGTATTTTTACTATTATATACTTTTTTATTTATTAAAAAATAAACATTGTTATGTATGTATCTGATTGGAAGCTCTTTAGAAGTATTTAAAGGGATTATATAAACAAAACAGCTGGATTATAAATGTTAAATTCTTAAGGAACAAGTAAGTCCTAACTTTGGCTCTATTTACATCCTGCTACAAAAATCACTGTCCTGCAAATAACAGTTAGAAGCACATTATTACTTTTTTCATGAAGATTTTCTACCTAACTTGATGCGATTAAAAAAAAATCCACTAATTTTTATAACAATTTCTGGATTTGCAGCTAGACAGTTGGCAATTAATTTTTACACCTCATACAAGCCTGATGCACACATTTACCACAGTGCTTTAAAAAAATATTTTTTTTTAACATTCCATGAAGGTTAAATGAAATGGACATCTAAAAAAGTACTGTGTTCTGCCCTATAAAACAGCAGAATCTAACATGTGCTACTAATTCTTTCACAGTGAACTTGTAATATTTTTTCAGAAGTGGGGTCCTATAACAATATAATTCTAAATTTCACTCATTTATTCCACCATCAATTTTAATGGTCATACTCAATGATGGTTTAGATGTCTGTGGAACTGAAAAGTATCAGTAACATCATTATTTACTGAAGCTTAATTTTCCCCCTTCATCAAAACAGTAAATCCCTTTGCTAAAGGATATGGTTACAAAAATTGCATTTTTTAAAAACTTAAATTATATTTAAGGTCATGTAAAATAGACCCAGTGAAGATCTACCTGTACAGTGTTCCCAAGCTTCATTGTTGCTATCTAATCAGCAAAATAGAAAAACAAAAACCAAAAATCACTGACAATTCTGTATTTCCTTTAAATTGTTTGAGGATATATAGGATGTGGTTGGAAAAAGGCTCATGCATTAAATCTAGTTGCCTTCCCTAATACTTTGAAGTTTCTCTTTTTTCTGATAAAATGTTTGCAGATGGAATTCACTGTGTGAAAGTTGGTTGGTTTATATACCATAGCACTGCTCAAAACATCAAGAAGAGAG